ATTTTTACTAAAAATCCGTAAATTGTATCGAAAAAACACAAAAGACCTTTTTTATGGAAAACTATGAAATTTTGTTGCTGAAAGTGGCAAGAAACCACAGGCAATATAGTTAGAGTAAATTTTTACCCTAATGCTAGTTTAGAAAGCCCCTAATTAAAAATTTCAACATTTTATTTTTGTACTTGTTTAGGTGTATAAAAGTTATGATATGTACCAAACTTTAAATTTTTTTCTAAAATGATTTCGCGTAGCATTTTTCGATATATGTTCATAGAAAATTTTTGTTTTAAAAATGAATATTCTATCTCCTGTTCAAATTTGTAACAATAAAAAGTATTAAAAAATTATTTTATTTTTTGTTACTTTTGTGAGTTAATTTGTATTTTTTTATGTTTAATTAGGATCTCTTATTTCAATTTAAAATAAAAACGTGTACTTAGAGATTTGTGCTTTTTAATCCGCCTTCTTTCATTTCATTTTCATGGACCAACAAGAAACCCCCTCCCCTCAAAATAAAATTCTCGTCACGGCCCTGTGGCATGATGATTTTAATAACAAAATTTATGATTTATCTTATACGTCGGCGACTAATTCCAGCCCATTTTTCCGTTTGATTTTTCGACTTGTCATCAAAAATGACTTGATTACAAATTATCTTAATCTCTCGGTATATGTAAAAAAAATGTAATGTTTTTATTTAAAAAAACTTTAGGTATAAGGTTTTTATATTAAAATTTAAAAATAAAAAATTGAAGCTTTCGGTGGCAAGTTTGAGGGGGGGCCTCACCCCTGGATCCCTTGGCTTTTATGCGGTAATATCAGTTCGTATAAACGGCGCAATTACCCCTATTGTGCGTGGTTTGCGTGTATGACACACTTTGCAGAAATCTATTTAAGTATGTAATTGATGGTGGTCTAACGAGGTCAAACAAGCGTCTGAAGAAATTTCCGATTCCAACCACCGTCGCATTTGAAATGAGAATTAAAGTAAAAACTGAACCGAGTCGCACAGCGGGGTGCGATACGTGGATGATGGATTGATATAGCAACAACGAAATTTATTCGAAAATACCACTCAGCTGGACAGAAATTAACCTGACAGCCGGAATATTTAAGCAAAGATATCTAAATCTCCAGCAATCGAGGTTTATTTTTAAACAATCACAACGATTTGCATCTGCCGGTTGCATTAATAATCGGTGTAAAATTACTAATAATCGTCAAGAACCGGACTCAGTACTTAAGAAACAATAAATAACTCTTAAAAGTTACTGTGTTGACTTGAAAACTTAAAGGCATATAATCTCTCCGATATGATAATCGCTCTGTTATTTTCACCTTCTTACAAATTAGCGGGTCGTGATCAAACTCACCTGGGGCCCGGAATCAGGTACACCTGCTTTGAGGATCCGAGGCTCATATTGTGTGGCGGAACCTTAGACTTCCTTTTATACAGTGACGGAGGCTCCTTTCGTTATTATTGCCAATCAAAATTGTCATTCGTGCACGTGTTTTTTCCGACAACGTAGCTAATTTGTCATCCCAGGCCTATTAGTGGCAAATTTATTATGAAAATTGTGGGTTTACAGACAGGTGTAGAGAGCAAATAAGAACCTTGATACACGCTGCAGATTCCGTCTAATTAAAAATAAAAGATTTCCCAAGAAAGAAAAAATTCTAATATAGCTACAATAAATTTCGTCAAGTGCGTTAGACGTAACGGATAATATAACAAGCACCTGGATGTTTTCGCATAATTTCGTGTGTTTTAAGAATAATATCTTACATCTGTTTCTATTATGTGGACTTACGGTTATAAATAAATGCGACGATTTATTTATGCTAGGACACTAATTTATGAAACTGTGCCGGTTTGAAAACAAATTGTAAAACTGTAAATTCACGCTTTAATAATTCATTTTTTTCAATTATTTTCTTGAAACGTGGGGGCGGAATTATGTACGCCACTGTTTCAATTATGACGAATCAAGCAGGTGAAGGGTGGCTTGAAGAAGATTGATGTAGCGATGTTGGCCTGTATAACGGTCGTTATTGTCCTACCGCACCGTTTTGTTTAATTAATATCATTCATTATGTAATTAATTCTTCCTTATCGCTGTTTCGGTCAACTACTATTCAGAATTCAGATTTAATCAGAGCAGAAAATTTTCGAAAATACATTTTCATGTTGAGATAGATAAGAAAGCAAGAACATAAAAAAAAGAAAGTAAAACAACAAAAGGTACAGACATTTATTTAGAATTATTAAAAATATACAAAATGTAACAAAAAAATAAAACACCGAACACGGAAAGACAAACTGCAGAAAAAATAATGTATACAGGATGCGCTAGAACTCGCGCCTCAGAGAAGGTAAAATATCAGAAACATGGAAAAATGCTAAAAAAATTCTATCTATAAAAATTTCGAAATGAGAATTTAAATTTTGCACTTTGACTCTATGTATTCCTGTTGGAAAAATAACTTGTCAAGTTTTTTTGCTACAGGCTATTAGAAGAGGAAACAAGAAAGCTGTATCCTAAATTATTGTAACTCTATTTAATGTTATTTGTTGCTTTTATTGGCAAAATTTTTGTACCTTTACTAAATAATTATAAAAAACTTATACAAGATCAAAAGTAACATTAAATAGACATAAAAAAATGTCAAATGTCAAAATTTTTTTACAGGTCAAATTTTGCAAACATTTTTCTGGTATCTAATCTTATTTGAAATCATTCTCTGGGCAGTAGGTAATCACGGGTTTTTTTCACCATTTTTTATTGAGCGTTTTTTAAATTAATGAAACAATGTCACAAAATTTTCATAACTCATAACAGTCATAACAACAAAAACGAAATAGAGATTTAATTTTTTTAAGAATTTGTGTTGTGAATTCAGGTCATCGTGTCTTTGCAATGTTTTCCGTTTTTAAAAGTAGGTATTTAATAAAAAATCAAAAACATAAATTGTGTAAGTACGTAAAGTAAACAGAAGGTATAAGTTCGTAAACTTAAGACGTAATGTACTCGTTATTAAAACGCAAACTAGAAAGAATAAAATTCATTGAAAAGTACGAAAACTGTAGTGTAAGAATATAACAAAAAGTATAAAATGTACAACAAAATAAAGAAAATATATAAAGAAAATGTAAAAACACAGAAATGCAGTAATAAACCCGAGACACTTGTCAAGGGCCAATAGCTTAGTTGAAAAAGCACTTGATTTCTTGATTTCGGTCCAAATCGGCTTCGTGTTTTTATAAAAAAAACGTAAGAAATTGAAAAAAATTGAACAAATAAGACTGAAAAGCGAAAAAGGAAAAAATCTTAGGAAGCGTAAAACACAAAAAGTATTTATTATTAAAATTAAAGAATATTAGCCCACACATAGTGGTAAATGACATGAAAGATTTACAGTAAGGTAATGAAAAAAATGTAATCTTGTAATCTTAAGAAAAGTAAAACCTTGCGATCGTCAAAATTGATTATGAACGTTCTTGATACAATACTTGATATACAGTAAGTATGTTCCGGGATCGATGAGTTTACAACAAGAAAAAAATGTTTTCTTTGATTTTACGCTAAAACCACAAAAAAAACAACTTTTTTGCCTTCACCTGAAGCAGATAAAATTATATCTAAAACCTGATTGTTCTGACTCAGTCCAAAAAAAGTTCATTTTCCTCTAAAATCAGACTTAATTTTCTCGGCTTTTTAACTAAATTTTAAGTAAAACTTTTAGCTAAATAATAATAGTAGGTACTTGTTAAAAATTACTTTAATTTTTTGTATCTTAAAGCTATTTTTTGAGTTGCCATTTATTAAACTTACGTTTTTCACAAATATTTTTGTTATTTTACTCGTCAACGTGATTAAATTTAAAACGCAGAGAAAAGTAATTACAAGTCCAAAATCAAGAGAAAAATAAACTTTTCTTTCCACTAATTACAGATTTGCTCATTTCACGTTAAGCAAAAAATGTTCTTTCTTTGCAATTTTGGTGTAAAATCAACGATAAAAATTATTTTCTTCTTGTAAACTCAATTCGGGGAAATACTTTGTACTTTGTTTTATTTTTTTTTTCGTAATTTCAATCATTAATCGACTAATCAACTATAGTACATTTTAGTGCAAAAAAATGCAAATTGATTTGATTTGGCCTGTTAATAAATGCCAGTTTTTTGACGTTGTCTTTGTCACAATTCACAATTTCATAATTGTCATACAACATTTCTTTTGAAAGTTTTCTAACCTTTTTGGAAACAACCATTTTCACACTTTGAAAATTTCTGAAAAATTTGACCATATTATTTTTGACTTTTTGCGTTTTTTTGCACTCAAGTGTAACTCATAAAAATTAGTTTTTGAGTACGATGGCTTAAGTAGGACCCAAAATACAAAAACAATAAAAAAAAATTCTTTGAATAAACAATATTATTACCAAAATATAAACCCTTAGCAATTTTCAATAATATTAAACAGTTCCTTGATTTGTTATTAATAATCAAGTTTCAACGCAATTTTTCTCAAAACTGTAATTTTTGAGTTACTATAATTTTTGTTGGGAGAGTCGAAATTTTATATTATTTTATTTCTGAAAAAATTGCTTTAAGAACCTCTTCGTCCTTTTAAAACTTTTTATAAATATTGATGCAAATCAAATTAAAATTATTTATTTGATCATTATAAGTGTTCCTACACTCCTATTGGAATTTTTTCACGGCAAATTAAAATCGGGACGTTGACGTCAAAATCAAAACATGAACGTAAAACAGGACAAGACACAAAAAAATTAAACCTTGTCTTGGCTAAATCTGAACGGTCGCTCACCTAATTTTATTCCAGCGTAATCGTGAAGAAGTGATTTGCGGTTTGCATGTAGAAAATAGCATCATCAGATCAAAGGATATTCTTGAGAAGTTACTTCTGAACAAAATCGACAGCTTTCTCCAAAGCTATAAAAATGATAAGTCAATCCGTCAGCTATTACAAAATGATGTACTCGCAGTGGAGCCCAAAGGTTAGGTCGTTTTTGTGGTGACGTACACGCGATATCGTGCGGAGGGTTCTTCTCACGGTGGGTTCCGCGATCCGACCTTTCGTGGTTTTATCCCTTGTGTTGTTGGGCTTATAATTTTAATATTGATAATTATATACGGGTGCGGTTGAAATTTTTCCAAGAGAATAGCTTCGGGTTGTCAGTTTCGGGCCGGTAAAAAGTGATCTTGTTTTTCAGATATAGCTGCGTCCGAGGAATGTAAATCGAAAGAATCTTAGAACAGTAGCGAAGCGGAGGTGACACATCGCTCAACGAAGCAAAAGATCTGATGGAACCTTGTTCCTACCGCTGCTCCCTGCTGGGAACCACACAGAAGCGGACTCCGATCGTGAATCAATTCAGCATCCTCTTCGAAATAGCCCGCACCAAGTCGACTGTGACGATAAAAATCGGTAATACGGCCCAGGAACCAACGCTAAAGTGCACATCTGAAATGGATTTCTTGGTACCTTTCGTAGAAAATTTAGTGTATAAATAAAAAGTTTTTTATTTAAGTTGTCGCTTTAACTTATCGTTTAACTTATCGTTTTAACATCTAAATCACGTGGAAGTAAACTGGAGGATATTTTAACAGCTCCATTGACTCAGGATGGAAATTATAAATTCAATTCCTTTGTTGCGTTTTGTAATTACTCCCAGCTTTCTTCCATTATTGAATTATAAGCAGATATCTGAGTACAAAATCTCACTTTCCAACTGGCTTGGAAATGGAACATAATAATCGCTGCCATTGTTAAGGTGGCCAAACATGAATATTTACATCTGCTTACCTTACTATAACCCATTGTTCTTTCCACATTCTTGAAAAGCAAATCGCATTGATGGCTACATATCCACAATGCGGAAATTCCGCCATCTTCCTCCCCTCATTTCCATTTTAATTAGTTGAAGACCAATGTTTCTGTAATTGCCCAATTAAAAAAAAAACATCGGGTATCAATAAAATTTGTTGTTTTCTCTGAAATTGCATGAGAAATAATTTAATAATTACAAGTTTCAAGTTGACTATGCAGGTGTAAGTCGAAAATTTGTTAGCTTTGCCTCAATTTATTTACACATGTTCCATCGTTTAGTCCAACATAGAATTGTTAGTGACGCGGAAGTCTCCAGACGTCACGAACATCGTGTTAGACACAAATTGTGCATTTCCTTCTCGAATGCCTCATCGAAACCCTTATTTTTCCAATCGAAGAAAAAACTAACCAATTATGTCTCCACTTAATGCTAATTGGACGAATCAGTGATTAATTAATTACACTAGCCAACAAGCATTTTGTGACTGAGAAGAAAACAGTTATTTTTTGTTCATTTCGATGTGCTAAACTCAAAAACAAATTTTAAAGTTAGGCATTTTAAGATATCATATGTAAGTACAAAATCGCCGAAAAACGAAACACTTAAAATTCATTTTCTTCATTCTCATTAAACATTTTTTCCCCTAAATTTAGGTGCCGTTAGTGACGGGCAAGGGGAAAGGTTCCAATCTTATACATCTTTCAACATTGTTCTTGTTTAGTCGTCTATGTAATTAATTTCTATTTGAAATGAACAATTTTTACGATAAAATTTGAGAAAACTATTTTCCTGTAACTTAAAATCTGTGCGTGATGGAGAATTTTTCTTATCAAATTCGTAATTAGGGATGTTAATGTACCCTGATACACGTGTCAATAGATCAATCACATTAAAAAAAAATGTTGGGTAGTGTTATTATCGATCGATTTAAAACTTGACAAGTGACACCGATACCACAATTTTCCTATTCATAAATTTCCACCAGGTGCTTTTGCATAGATACACCTAATAAACCGAAGTTAATATCTATTTAAGAATTTTAGAGACAATAAATTATATTAATACGACACGGTCTACTTATTAAATTCGTCGTTACGAAAGAAAATTTACGACGAAAAATACACAATTTTAATTAACGAAAATCGTTTTCTATTTTATTTTTCCGGAGACGCTTAAAGAATTAAAATAACGATGTCTTGTCAAAAAACACTCTGGAACAGATCTAGGAATACAAAGTAGCAGGTGAAATAAATTCTTATAATCGGCGAAAATAGCAGGTGAAGAGCTCCATCATCGGCAAAAAGAGTTTGGCCTGTGGTTCTATTGTATTATTAGTGATGCTAAACGGTCTGATTATGGATCCTTGTTCTTCGTACCGTATCTATATATCACACCCTATTATAAAACAATAATTTAGACCGGCGTTATCAGATCAAGAAGACCATCCTCGCCAATTATTTGCCAAATTGGGGCTCGGCTATTGATTTCTTTTATTTATTGCAATAAAAAAATAAAGACATTATAAAAGATAGAGCGTAATTGAATAAAAAATAATAATAGCTGGACCAGGTGCAAGCTTTTTTCCAAATTCTTAGTTTTTGCTAATACATACATCAATAATATTTGTAAATTTTGTCCATTTGTTCCATGTCGGTCCATTTCTGGTCAACATATGTTTGATTTTTTTTTTCATTATCTATTAAAAAATGTGTTTCAAATTCGAAAATAATCCCTTACCAGAGCAGCTTTGCCAATTGCCAACTCAAACAGCTATTGTTGTTTACCTCTTATATTGAATATTATTAAATGCAAATTTAAAACGCTTTAAATCAAACTACTTATGCTATAATAGATATTTTCGCTTCTAAATAATAAAAAAATAAAAATTAAAATGCACAGTGAATTATTTAAACGTCAAGTATTTTTGATCAGTAAAAATATAAAGTGCACAGTAAAATAATAAATGTACAGTAAAGGAAATGAATGAATGTCTAGTAAAACTACTTAATTTAATATTCACACATTTAGTTTTGACACAAAATGTTTCCGAGCAAAACTGCAGGGCAAAGAGTGGCAGAGGCTGTTAGTGATTAGACTGATTACCATTTGTGCACAGTTTCCAGCTTTTGTTAAAATCATTCTTGCGCAGGGGCCCTTGCTAATACATATAACACCCTACAATAATAATAAATAACATTCTTGCGCAGGGACCAGACATTGTTATGTAACGAAAACTGAAAATTCCTTACATTTTATGTTATTTTACTAATTTTGATTAAAGTAACTGAGCGTTTATTATTTTTACTGTGCAAATTAGATTTTTTTACTGAACAAATTACAATGCAATACTGTGCGTGCTTTACTTAACATTAATTATTTTTACTTTTGCTCTGCAAAAATTAATAAAATACTGATTTATCATTTTATACTGATCAAAATTGAATTATTTACTGATCGCTTAATAAAGCGGTAATAATCACCCATAGTAAATGTGTTCTGCATATAAAAAATAAAATGTTTTTATACAAAATACCTAAAATACAGGGTGCGCCAGAACTCGCGCCCCAGAGAAAAATTTCAAGTAAGGACATGGAAAAAACGTTTAAAAATTCTGTCAAAAAATTTTGCTATTTATTTTTTGACATTTGACATTTGTTATGTCTATTTAATGATACTGATGATCTTGTATATGTTTTTTTATAATTATTTAGTAAAGGTACAAAAATTTTGTCAATAAAAGTCACCAATAACATTAAGCAGAGTTACAATTTAGGATACAGCTTCCTTGTTTCCTCTTCTAATAGTCTGTAGCAAAAAAACTTTAAAAAGTATTTTTCCAATAAGTATAAATAAATAGAGTCAAAGTGCAAAATTCAAACTCGCATAACTTCAATCTTTTTAAAAAGAAAATTTTTGTAAAAAAATTTTTTCTATGTTCCTGATATCTTACAATTTTCCCTGGGGCACCCTGTAAAAAGGGTGTAAATAGATTTCAACTCTACCCACTGCAAGTATTTTTTTACGTTATCTATGACAATTTTTATGCAATTATCTGTAATTACATCATAAATTTGAAATCCTAAAAGTCAAGATTTTAGGAGATATGCAAAATATGATCACTTTATCACTAATAAACAACTTGATCAAACGCTAAAAAAATTTAAATGTAAAATTAGATGGAATATTAAATTTTATTGGTTATATTTTTAAAATAATTTGTCACAACCTACGGGCCATAATAATTATGTACTTAAAAATTTAGGATCAAATTACCAAATCAAATATTTGCATCTTTATGACTATCAATTATCATGTGTTTACCGTTTCGAAATACAAATTAGGTTTGTAGCATCAAACCCACACGATCATTTTGCAATAAAATAAAATTAGGCCAAGATTTATTTGATCAATATCAAAAAAATCAAATTGCTGTACCTATTTGATTTATTGTTTGTCGATAAATTGTCATAATAACAATTAAGTTTCCTTTTGAGTATGAAATGAAATATCGACGTCAACGTAAAGAACGGTAAATCGGTGAATTGCGCGTGAAATATCTCTAAATCTAATTAAACTGTGACTCGAGAACAGTATCGAATCGTGACTTATTCATAAATACGTTTATTTTATTATTGGAAATTTCAACTTGTGTCGTATTCGACAAATAAATCTTCTAAGCAAACATTTTTATCAATGGTCCATGATTTTTCAAAGCGTTTGATTACGAGAAATTTATGAATGAAGTTCTTAGATCGTCGTAAGAATGAGTCTGTAATTTACGGTTCGCTTAACATGATCATGAATAAAAATCGCTAAATTCTAATGACAGTTAATTTCAAATTATTTAAATTCAGTTGAGCGTAAACGTGCTTGTTATAATGTTACAGATATTACTTACTTCCATTCACAACTTTGCCTATTTTGGTTGGAATCTCAAACAAATTTATTTGGTACACATGTGAATAAATAGCCAATTTATTTAAATCGATTTCAGATTGAATTATTGTGGTTGGGTACGACCGCATAATATCCATAAGCTCACAAAAACGTTTGTAATTCGTTAAGCTTCTCCACTTGACAAATAAACCAATTTAACGTCTCTAAATCGATTTGCTAATGCGTCCAGCCGACTAATTACTTATGTAACTGTGTTTCATCTAATACTAAATAATTGGCTTAACGTGATTATACAAAAATTGATTGAAAGCAGTTTTAAATATCTGTGCTCAAATTCTTAGACTCTGTCATCTAGTGACCAGTAGGAAAAGTAACGATTTTAACAAAGTACAGAACTCGACCTACGCGTGTGCATGCAATCTTATTATCAACTTGTCTTATTTTCTTGATAAAATAGAACACTTTGTTTTTTTATACTTTTAGCTCAAACCAATATTTTAACTTGGAAATATTATCAAAAATAAAACTCATCGGTTTCAGTCCACAATTTATTGCGTATACAAAAATATCAAAAATTGTTAATTAGACAATTTTGTCCAACTTGTTAGTAAGGAATGGCAATCGATTTGATTCTTATACTACTTAAAACAAATAAATAAACTGTACAATGTCCACGAAACAAGCCAGTTTCAACGAGAGTAAACATTTTAAAAAAGTTAATCCAATTACTATAAAACATAAAAGACAAAAATTTCGCAAATAAAAAAACACCGTGCAAAATAAAAACAATATTTGACCGTAGACATGAAAAAGACAGCACAGCACAGCTTACTATAAATTATTACTTTCTAATTAATAAATCTAATAATAAAAACTAGACCAGAAAATTACGCAAGGCCTGTAAGAAGTACAGCAGTCTTTTAATCAAACGAAATCATTTCACGATTGGGACTAATCTTAGAAACTTGCATATACTTCGGCGCCTTGTACTTGTCCCTAATAGCATGCTGTGGATTATTTGGCGCTTTGACAAACATATTATACAAAAATCCAATACACGATTCTAATTTTTGCAAATCATATCCTGTGTATTTTTGTAATTCAGCAGGCCACGCTTCCTCCCCCAAAGTGTGTCTGCTGAGAGCTATCGCCGACGATGCGACAACTGATGGCAAAAAATGTAAATACGGTTCAACTTCCAAAAGCGCCGTTTCGCTTAAATACATTGCGAGATTCTTGACTTTTTCGGTTTGCTTTGTAGAAATGCAGATGGCGTTTAGAAACGTGAGTGGTGTGGGAACCGACAAATCGAATCCCAACACCCTTAAAATTAACTGTTCCATCCTGATCATTTGATGTTTGTCATAGGTGTCGTCAGTGATGTATACAAATTCACTGACTTCAGGTGGGAAAATTTCTTCATATTTACTGAAATGTCAAATTAAATGAGATCAACAATTGGTTGAACGACTTACGAAGCAATAAACATTGCAGCGGTACCCACGAGTTGCAATTTGGCCCTTACTACTGACATGTAACTTAAAAACCGGTCGATGAAATTTACCGCCAAATAAAGGGTTTCCGTTTGCATACCGTACTCTTCAGTAACTTCGACAAGCCAATCGATCAACACAGCACGCATGTTTTCAGTTACATCGGGTTGTTTGAGGATATAGCCGGGTTTTGCTCGGTGTCGTAGCTAAAAATAAAGTGTAATAATATTTTCAAAAATTTGCTCTATGGTTTTTGTTAAAAAGACCATTATCAGCCTTTAAATGTGAAAATATTCAAAAATGTGTACACAAAATTCATAAATATTAACCCCCTTTGCGTCACCTAATATTATTTTCAAATATACTACAAGTACAAGGTGTTGCAAAAGTAAGTTACAATACAAACTAAAAAATTATTACACAAAAACTAAGAATAATAATAGTACACATAAAGGGATTATTTCTAAGGAGCCGTTTATAATCAGAGGGCAAAAGAGTAATAACATTTCTCTCCAGCGGTATATATACAATTTTTTGCACGACTTGAGTTAAAAAACCTAAGAAATTGGCTGTAATTCTTTAATAAAATTAAAAAATTAGCATAAAGTTAGCATTTTTCGAAATTACACCAGGATAACAATAAAAATGTTTCTTGACGATGATCGAATCAATGAATGGGAATGACTTAGTAATGGGAGTAAATATTTACTCCCGTCGTTATATCTATATCTCTTCCTCGAAAGAAAATTTTAACGTCTGTCACAGTTTTGACATAAGAAAAGTTGATTTCTACTCCCCGTCGCGCGTCGTGCAAAAATAATTTTTATTCTTCGACACTGTCAAAATTTACGGTTTTTCTCCCGTGTAAGGAAGTTTTGACAACTGTTTGGCATTTCTCAATACAAAACGTCAAATTATTTTTAACAGATTTAAAGCAAATTTAAGCCTTGGTGACTCTAATTCGAAGAAGAGTCAAATAAAGAGTCCGATTTACACTCAAACTCGTCGAATAAATAACTATTTTATATCTAGAAAAAACTCAATCTTTAGTGTTGTATCATATTTTTTGGGTATTGCATTTAAAAACTTAGAATAGTATGAAGTTTGTTAAAAATATAATTTTCTGGTTTTCGATCTAACAGATTGTCTACATCTAAAAACATAAACTTTCAACTGTCTAAAATTGATAAATAAAATGGCTAATATACATTCATTTTTGTTTTAGACCAGAGTTGGCTATTAAAATTTGCCGAGTTGTATGGCAAGATTGCGGCTGAATAAGCCTATTCTGGTCTAAAACAAAAATAATATACAGGGTGTCAGAACTCGCGCCCCAGAGAAAAATTTTAAGTAAGATAAGATACTAGGAATGTGAAAAAAATTTGTAAAAAATTCTCTGTTTAAAAATTTTATTTATAATATTTTTTGCCATTTGATATTTTTTTACGTCTATTCAATGATACTAATGATCTTGTATTTGTTTTTTTTTTTATAATTATTTAGCAAACGTATTAAAATTTTGTTTTTGCCAATCAAAGCCACAAATAACATTAAACAAAATAACAATTTAGGATACCGCTTCCTTGTTTCCTCTTTTAACAGCCTGTAGCAAAAACAGTTGGAATTTTTTTTCTCCAACAGAAATAAATAGTTAAAGTGCAAAATTTAAACTCCCATGACTTCGAAATTTTTATAGATAGAATTTTTTTAACATTTTTTCCATGTTCCTAGTATCTTACTTTACCATTTTTCTCTGAGGCGAGAGTTCTGGCACAACTGTATTTATGAATCAACTAAGCAAAATAGCGTTTTCGGGAGACAAATTGTTATTAAGTTTATAATGAGAGGAGTCCTTTAAAACTATTTTAGTGATAAAAATTTGTTTAAATATGTAGTCTGTTTTTTTAAACGAAAAGGTCAAGTGGTTTTTACGTTGGTATCCCTAGCAAATTCATTAATGGTAATTTTAATAAAAAAGTTCGCAGTTATGGTTTTAGATTTAATTTGAAAAGTTTCATAAAACGACAGCAAAAAAACGCCTTTAACTGTGATTGATTATTTTATGCTGGTGAGGCACATCAAATATTAACAGGTGTTTATGTAAATTTGGCGTTATAGTTGGCGGTGATTTGAGTGTATTGTGAACGGACCATAATTTTTAATACATTCGGCGAGGTGTCAGATTAATAACTTTCAATGTGATGGTTCGTTCACAATCAAACTATCATGGATAGCTTAGCCGCCAAATTTAAATAAACACCTTATATAACGGCGTTAGTATAACAAAATTTAGAGGCAAGAATACAAAAACAGAAACAAATTGGGTACAGATAACAGTTTTTGGAAATTTGGAGATAAAAAGTGTGCATGTAGAAGTCAGAAAAACACCATCGTTAAAATTTGGAAGCAATTTGTAATGCAAGTTTGTTGAACATTCTCCAATTTTTAGCAAGAAATTGACGAGAATGTAAAATATACATGAATGAGAAAAAACGCAATTAAATTAGTGTCTGTTTACATCGTTGAAATAGCAATTTTGAAGTTAAAGAAGAATTCAGAACATGCAGTAATTTCGAACTCATTTCAATAAATTGCACAAAATTTATTGCCAATCTTCATAATACAGTGGCGAACACGGAATTTTGGACGATTTGTCATTCGACTGTCATAAAAATGTAAAACGAGGCAACTAACCTCACTTTCGGTTTTTGTAATTTTAATCCTGAGCTAAAAAAAAATTACAACAAATCAAAATAATTTATTGATCTTATATAAAAACACGTATTGCTGGCATTATTTTTTTGAAAAATCGGCGCCAAAAATAAATTTCAAATTTTAGTTTCAAACGTCAATCATAACGACAATAAAGCGTGGCTTCCATTGACATTTTTTAAACTGTCATAAATTTGATGTCCAAAATTCCGTGGCCACGAGTGTACTCGCTTTTACTAAATAACTTTTTCTGTATAGACACCTTTTTTCGTTAAAGTTTTTCTAACAAGAACCTCATTTTTGCCTACAAATTATGAGCTTACTTACTCACAAAATTCACAAAGTCGAAATTTTGACAACATATTAACATAACCATAATTTTTTAACAAAATTCCTATGAACAAAGACAAAAAGCAAACAAAATGGCTATTAAGATAAGCTGTTACCAATTTTTTCTCCAAGTAAAAAAAGACTATAAAATATGGCTATTTTGAATACCATTTTAAACTTGGATTTAAAAAATTGCATCAGGTGAGTGTGGTCAGTTGTCACCAATGTCAAAGTTTGTAATAATAGTTAAATAATAATGTAATAATAATTTAAAACCTAGTATTATTTACAAAATAATTGAGAATAAACTTGAAAAAAAAGTAGTGTTCTTAGAACAAAACAATTTGGTGCATGGCTGGCTAGACCTAAATCCGTTGTGGCCATTCATGAAAATACTGTACCTCATGTTCTTTAAGATAAGCAAAAATGCTATCCCTATATTCCTCCATTTCAAAAAAGACATCTCTAGCATTGGTACTTTTTGTGACTGCTTTCTCTTTGAGCTCAACGTTCTCCACATCCGATTTCTCAACACTCATTGGAATGTCTGATTCTCTTCCAACTAGTGGCGCAGGAATTTCCAGGATTTCCTTCATTTTCTCCAAATTCTTTTTCCTTTCAATTTCAGCCAATTCTGTCTTGGTGATAAACCTGTCTTCAGCAGTTCCTTTATACACATTACTCTTACTGATAAGCTTGAGTCGTTCATCAATTCTTGCTCTGTATTCATCATCCTCATACACAGTAAACGCCTCAAACTGAGCCACTGGAACCACAACATTCTTTTTGTTCTCGTTATTTTGCCCATTTTCAACCCGATTTCCCAACACAGTTGGCTTCCTTGTCTAGGAACAAAAAGCAAACGTTACACCCACCCCAGCCAACTCTGAGTAGAAACTCACCTGTTTGCCTTTAGGGGCCGCGATACTGACTTTATTACTGTCAATTTCTCCTAAAACGCCTCGTTTTTGCTGAGCAGTCGTTGCAGATTTTCGACGCAATTCCGGGACCCGGTTTTCCTGATCCTGATGAATTTTTATCGATGCCATTCCTCTAACACACCTACGAGTTTCTAATAACCAAAAACCGAAAAATTTGATCAACTAAAAGCCAAATTGAACCCCAACTTAAACACTCAAGCTACCCCTAACCGACAAAACGACTGTTTTTAACGGCCAGATGCAAAGAGCGTAGAGTGCGGGAAACGAACAGCTGAGAGACCGTTGAAATGACAAATTGGACCAATAGAAAACCAGATTTAGTCAAACGTCACAAGGGTGGGGATGACCAGTTTTGGAAGATTTAACGGATTTTTGGAACCAAATCAATAATCAATTCAAAATTTTTGTTGCTAACCAAACATATTATCGTAAGAGAACGTTTTCATTATAAAAACTGCATTACTCTACTCAATTTACTCGTTTCAAATAAAAATATTCAACCATGTTCCCCCCACCATTGTGGTCAACCAATCATAACGATATGTCATTAATTGTCAACTGTCAAAAATAAAACGTGCTTTTTGTGTAATTTATAAACAAAAAAGTCAAATTAAATAATTAAATTAGGTTGAGATGTCAGAACAATACAAGTAATAATTGTGGTATTATGGTATCAAATGGTTACAACTTTGTTTCAGGATATTACATCCCGTCAAATACTATAGGGACTATTTGGCCCATAAAATTCGTCCTGATGGGCGCGAATTTGGTGAATATAGACCCATCGTCGTTAATTTGGGTTCAATTTCAACAGCTGATGGGTCTGCGATAGCCAAAGTTGGTCGTACGACAGTGGTTTGTGGGATTAAAGCTGTAAGAGACAATTAGTTGCATTAAATTTTGGTAAATAAATCTTGTAGGAGTTGTGTCAGCCCAAGGCTGAGACTGCAAACGAGGGTTTTTTAATCCCAAATGTCGAATTACCACCTTTGTGTTCTTCAAAATTTCGACCAGGACCCCCAACTGAACAAGCCCAAGTGGCTACCCAGTTAGTTGCTGATATTTTAAAAAACTCTGATTGTTTAGATTTAAAAACTTTATGTATATTTCCAGACAAATTAGCTTGGTGTTTATATGCTGATTTAATTTGTTTGGACTTGGATGGGGCTTTGATTGATGCGTGTGTTATTGCATTAATGGCTGCACTCAAGTCAGGTATAATTATTTATATTTTTTTGAAAAAATACACATCGGGTTTCAGTTACTTTGCCTGGGGTGGAGTATGATCCAGCCCTTGATAACAAGCAAGTGAATGTGCAAGATAGGAAAGCCTTAAACGTTGCCAACATACCCAGTTCAACAACTTTTGCAGTGTTTGATGAGTAATTTATTGTCATTGTTTAGAACACTATTAATTTTTTTATTGCAGCAACATTTTTATAGACCCAACAGTAGAAGAGGAGGATTTAAGTACAGCATTGGTAACAATTGTGGTCAAGGAAGAAGAGTTGTGTTTTGTCCACAAACCTGGTGGTAGTATGTTGACAGAAGAACAATTACTAAACTGTGTGGAAGAAAGTAAAAAACGAGCAACTGTGATTGAAGAAATTATAGAAACAGCTTTTAAAAGTTTATAATAAAAACATTCTTTTATAAATGTATATCCTATATTATTTAAATCAAAATTCTAACAGGTTTTCCACAGTAAGTTGTGTGATCATTTAACAGAATTGAACAAAATTAAATCATCACACGTTCATAAAAAAATCTATTGTCTTTGTTTACAGGACTGAAAAAATAAAAATTGGGAAAAATCAACACTTTACATTTCAACGAGTATACATTATTGGTATTGCCAAATATTCAACATGTGTTTGAATTTATGTACAAAAAATACGAAACAATATGCAAATAATATACATTATTACAAAATACTACAACTCACCACATAATCACATATGATACAAATTTTAAAGACTAAGGATGGTTTTTACAAAGTTTTTTACATATTTCGTCTCCAAACGGAAATAAATCTACTTACTGTATGTACACGTTAAAACTGAAACAATTTTGCGCCTAGGACAGGAATGATAGTAGAAAAATACCAGGAATAATAAAAATAATAGGGGTTTTAATAAAAATTTGTATATTTTAACAATGTGTAATTTTTACATCGTTGATGTTTTTATAAAGTTTAACATTTTTGTTCTTTATGCCTGATATCTTAATACTACAAATATTTTTTTGTTGATGAATCCGATTTTAGAAGAAAATTGAAATAAATATAATGCAAAACATTACACAACCATTAATTGAGTATAAAAATAAAACTACTTAAAACAATTATAAATTAAAATAAACTGGATACACCTAAAATTATTTACAAAAGAAAAAATATGTACACATCAAATCAATCTACTCAACTCACATCTCTTCCAACAATATTGCTAATGCACTTAGTGATAATCTTATTTTCATTAATATGAATTCTCCGCGCTCATAAATAAATAACAAAAAGTATACATTTTCCCTATTTTATGTACAGTACATTAAATTAACTATAACTAAAGAAACTGCAAAAATGCACAAAATTGCTTATACCGTATTATACAGCGTTGTGGCCTGCTACAAGAAAACGAATTTAAATCTTGCAATTTGTACTGTTCTAAAGAAAAACGGCAGTAAAAACAATAGGCCTTGTCCCTAGCTAGAAAAAAATGAAAATAAACTGGTATAGGTCCACTTTTGGCACCATGTTTATTTCTAAATGTAGGAACGACAATTGTGCAATGTAATGCAGCAGATGAGATCAATGATATCTCTTTACTTTCTTGCAAAAGTACCACTCAAGCGTTTCATGTGGAAAATTCAAACATTACAAACATTTTCCAGTACTATTTATTTTCTCGAGCACGAAATAAATAATAATACTGGCTTTGATCACAGAAATAGTGGGAAGAACTCTACAGGTTTATAAATTAAGAATTAAACGAATGTGATGTTTGATTTTTACTGACACCTTGAGTGCATTTACAAAGACGACACTCTAATGCTCGGCAGTTTATTATTTGTTAGTGAAGTACTCAGCAAAAGTTAAAACGTATATAAAATTAAAAACAGGAGAGACTAGTTCGATAACACAATGTACAGAAAAATACAATATTACTGTGGATCTGAAGTGTTTGATCGCCTTCGAAGTTTTCCCGCGACGCTCGCCACATTTTTCTGCTGTTGATTCAAACAAAGCTGTTGATACTGTTGAAATTGAGCTTGCTTTTGCAGTTGACTCGTTATTGAAGCAGTTGTAGCTGCATCTAAGAAAATTTACTCTCAAAAGTTTCAAAACGAATATCACAGATTTTACTTAAAAATTTATCAACAAAAAGCATGCATTAATTAATTGAATTAATTTATTAGGACTTTCTTGAAATGGTTTGAGTTTCATGTACTTAAAATAATCATTTTCTATTGATATTTAATTGCAAATCGGTCAACTGACTTGAGTTCTGTGTTGCCATCTTGAGGGTTATTGGTGTTCTTTGGATGTTTTGTTGCATCCTTGGCCTCTGTAAAGGGGTCACTAGCTGATACGATTGGCCGCCCTGAGATAATGACACTGAAGCGGGGCCCTGAGCCCGGATACCCTGCTGGGTTAAACCCTTCACCCCAGATGTGACTAATTGGGCTGAATTTAAAGAAAAACCACTGTTTAACAACAAACACGAAGCGAAAACCTTAAAAAGGCATGCCAGCCAGGCAACCACTGAAACCACTTAAAAATCCCATAATCAAATCAACGTAGTAACGTCAAGTATCAGTAGAATTGATTTGTTCTTAAGACAAATTTTTTTTTGCTTCGAGGTAGGTCCTTAATTTTTTCCAATATGCATTGAAAAAATAAAAAACTTTAAAATACGTGTCACTTATTTTTACGCGTTCTATAACATATCTGAAATTTACGAAAATCGGAAAGAATGATATTTAAAAGTGATCGTTTTGGCATGGAATTACATATTCTAGATTGAATTACTGAATTCTAAAAATCTTATAAAAATTAATTAAAAAAATAACCAACCATAAGAGGTTATCACCAAAAAGTTAGGAGTTATTGGCGAAAGACCAAAATCTCAACAGAAATAAAAAAAAATTCAACTTTAAAATTGATCCATATAAGGTTTCTTTACATTTCTAAAGGTCTTAAAACCTCAAAAAGTGCATAAAACGTTATTGGGTGAAATTTAAAAAAATTAGAATTTTTTGAGTTTTTGAAGGTGAGCGGTATAAAAATCGTAAAAAGAGTCGTAAAAACGCTTGAAATATGGTTTTCTACACGTAAAATTACACGCTAAATCCGATCCAACAAGTTAAAATACTTTACGATGCATAGTTTTTGAGATATTGAGTAATAAAGTTAAGAATAAGTCTAGAAAAATCCGATTTTGACCAAACAATCAAAATTTTTTATTCTTATAGAAAACTAGCACTATATGTAAAATTAACCGGAGAACACGCCTGTACAAACCGTTTTGATCTAGGACTCATAGTTTTTGAGATATAATTTTTTTATGAAAAAAACTAAAAATGGCTCTGTACCCGGAACTATAACCCGGAGCGACTCCGGATTTTTTTATTTATCGTAGAACAGTAATCTTTTTTGGATATGATAGAAAATTAAATTTGCTTTCGAACGGTGCCAAACATAAGAGGTTATTACCAATAAGACCGGAGTTATTGGCAATAAACCGCTCCGGGTGCCAAAAATCGACCAAAATCTCGACAAAAATCAAAAAAAAAATTACTTTAAAATTGATCCGTTTAACGTTTTTTACATTTCTAGAGGTCTTAAAGTCTAATAAATACATAAAAGGCCATTGGGTCAAGTTTAAAAAATCAATTTTTTTGAATTTTTGAAGATGATCCGGTAGTAAAATCGTAAAAATAGTCAATTTACCTTAAATTGTCAAAACGCTTGAAATATGGTTTTCTAGACGTAAAATTACTCGCTGAACACGATTCAACTAGTTAGAATACTCTACGATGCATAGTTTTTGAGATATTGAGCAATAAAGTTAAGAATAAGTCTAGAAAAATCCGATTTTGACCAAAAAATCAAAATTTTTTTGTTGTTATTAAAAACTAGGTTTATATGTAAGATTAACCGTAGAACACGCCTGTACAAACCGTTTTGATCTAGGACTCATAGTTTTTAAGATATTATTTTTTTATGAAAAAAACTATAAATGGCTCTGTACCCGGAACTATAACCCGGAGCGACTCCGGATTTGGCCCATTAAATAGATAATTTAATGTAGATTCTGATGATTCTTGGCATTTTGTTCTAAGTTTTATAGTTTCGTAGAAAAACGCATTTAAAGTTTCACAACTTTGACAATTTTCAATTTTTGAACGACGATTACGGCCAAACTATTAGACTTAGAGCAAAAAACTCAACACCATCGTAATCAGCCAAAGCCAAGTCGATATCTCGCAAAAAAAATGAATTTTTAAACGCCGATTACGGCGAAACTAAAGGAGATAGCGCAAAATGCTTGGCAAATTCGTAATCAGCACGTCAAAATCTATCGGATAGGATAGGTTTAAATTGAATCTGAGACATGTTCGAAAATACAATTTTTAGAGGGGGGGAAACAAATTTTTACTTTTTTTTAATTTGTAAATTGTGGCAAAACTGTGTCTCAATGATACAATATTTTGAGGTAAACCTATGTAAAAAGTTCCGGGGAATCGATTGGCGTCAATTAAACTGCAAAATTCGTAGTAGTTTTGAAGTTATAGTCGGATTTAAATTCTCGATATTTTTGACTTTATCAGAACTATTTATCGTAGAACAGTAATCTTTTTTGGATATAATAGAAAATTAAATTTGATTTCGAAGGGTACCAAACATAAGAGGTTATTACCAATAAGTCCGGAGTTATTGGCAATAGACCGCTCCGGGTGCCAAAAATCGACCAAAATATCGACAAAAATAAAAAAAAATAACTTTAAAATTGATCCATTTAACATTTTTTACATTTCTAGAGGTCTTAAAGACTCAAATAAGTGCATAAAACGCCATTGGGTCAAGTTTCAACAATTTCGAATTTTTTGAATTTTTGAAGATGAGCGGTAGTAAAATCGTAAAAATAGTCAATTTACCTTAAAACGTTAAAACACTTGAAATATTAAAATTAAAATTACGCGCTGAACACGATGCAACAGGTTAAAATATTTTATGATGCATAGTTTTTGAGATATTGAATAATTGTAATTATTGTAATTGTGACATACGGAAAGTGAATTTCGTACGCCCAATCCTGTCAAAGTGTAAATTAATCTTTAGGTTTTTCTAACCTTGTTTCAGAATTTTTTTGTCATGTTCACAGAATGTATGATGCTCCTTTGCTACTTTTTACCTCTACTTTGTCTTACATTGCTTGAGGTATAGGTAGTAGCATTCCATTTTTAGGTTGAAAATCCGTTTCAAAATAAATAAGAATTTGATTAAATTTGATAATATTATTTGAATGTGTTATCATGACAATAAAGTACAGACTACAGTTAATTTTTGTGAATTCACGGACGAAATTCACTGGCCGTCACCGTACGTCTTTACGAATAATTTCTTTTTTTAATTCGTTCCTTGTAAAAATGTCCAA